GTTAAGACTGGCTTCCAGGTAATTTTATATCCTTTAAAAATAGCCGAACGAACATGTTTTCTTGGAATCACATTTTTGTGTTTACACAATTCCATAAAAGAAATTATAGTGCCGACCTTTCTGGCAATGAGCTATTGTTTTATTAGAAATAACTAGAACTTAGAACTTATAGTCTCCCACATTCGTTTTATTATATACACATTTCACTGGGCAGTTTTATGGCTACATTTTCACTGCTGTTGACTGACAATAATCTGCAAATCAGCATTAAAATGACTCTGACCACCAAGCACTTTACAGCCCAAAAAAGTTTCACGAAAACAAATAGAACGACTGACAGAGTGGAAAAATTAAAAGTTGAAGCGATTGGAAGAGCGAATTCCACTCAAACTAAACTAACAGGCAAATATTTTGCCCGCTTTAGTGTCGTTTTATTTTTAAAAAAGACGTGGTTCCATCCCATTTTATTTTTTATTTATTTGCCTTGGGCTGCAGACGCCGCAACAAAGCAAATTTCCAGACGCCAATTTTTTTGTGCATGTGTGTGCGTGTGTGTGTGCGGGGTGGAGGGTCTCTTTGCATTTGTATGCGTGCTGGGACACTATGCCGGAAACGTGACTTATTTGAAATTTATGTACTTTTTAGCCAAGCGCCGGGCAAAAAGCAAGGCTGTGTAGGAAAGACAAACAGCAAACAGAGCGCCCGAAAAAGGCAAACATCGCGATTTATAGAGCAAATTCCACCCTTATCTGTGCCCCAGTGAAGTCCCAGTCCCCATCGCTTTTTCGGGCATTTTTAATTATTTTTTTAAGCGTTAGTTGCAATCACATGCATAGGAAGCGGCCAGCAGGGCGTATGCGCAATATGCAAATGCAAATGCATTCGCCAAAGAACAACAATTCACAAATTGAAATCAACGAGCATACAACTTGATAGGTTTTTGTTTGTTCCCTTTTAGCCCCTCCCCGCACCCCGCAGCCCTCCCCCTCTATGCCCCACTCTGGGTCCTGTGTGCTCTCCTTTCTGGCGCTTTCGTTTCGTTTTTCAGCTCGTGTCACACACGCCATTCACTTGTTGTTGGCTTTGTTGCTGCTGTTCGACATGCATCGATTACATAAATGGGCGGGGCGGGGTGGGGTGGTGTAGTCCTGGGTGGCCGGGATGTGGGTCCTTGCAGCAGGAGGAGCAGAGGTCGCACGAACGGCGACATAAGTCACGAAGCTTTTGCTAATGATGAGGGCCTTGATGCTTTTTCAATTAACCAAATGTGTGACGTACGGAGCGCAGATAGCGGCAGCTTGCTGTTTGCGACAGTGACAACGATTTGGCCGGGCATAAATCAAAGTGGAAGCAGGCAGCAAGTTTGGTAAGATTTCGCTTAAATTGCCCCACTCACAAGCGTTGAACTGCCCAAAATGAAGAGCTTGCCATTAAATGTGGGCAATGTAATGAATGTGTGCATGCAATAAACTCATTCAAGCCACTTGCATAATTATTATTGTTATACTTGTATACACCCAATGCCATCCATACACACACACACTCGCAAACAGCTAACCCTAATTTGCATTTTGTGGGACTGGGGCCAGTTGTGATTACCTGGCAAGCTCTTTTGTGTCATTCGTCGGCGGCTCCTCCGCAAAATGGCAATAAAAGCAATTCGCAAAAAATCCGCATGTGTATGTGTGTGTGTCCCGCAGATATACACACCCACACCCACATTCGTACAGAGGGCTACTTATAAACTCACCTTAATTAAACGTGATTAAGTAGATTTCCTCGTTTTTCCGCTCGACGAACTGTTTAGTTGTCGATGCTCTCTGTGTGTGTCTGTGTGTGTGAGTGTGCTTGAAGGTGTGGGTGTTGGTGACCTGTGCTTATTAGTTGCCATTTATTGTTGTGCCTGCAAGTTGGAAAGGGTATGGCGACTTGGGCGTTGGGCGTATTAGGACCGCATGCTTATTTATTAATAAGAGATTATTAATAAGTGGACCACACTGTGCTTAACTGCCGCACAAAGCTTTTCGGGAAATAAGTAGTTTATAGAGCGGCCAACTTATCAGCAAGTAGCTCGCAAAATAGTCAACTAATGCATAATCGAAAGATATTTTTGAGACTTTTGGATTATTACGCATTTAATACTGATTTAGCATCCAAATGGAAGTGGGCAAAAACTCACGTATGTGTTTTCGTAATTGGAGTAATGCCTAAAATCACAATTATTTTAGAAGGCTTCTTAGATTTCGACATTTCAAAATAATTACTCGGGTAATTTTCCTGCATTCTGAGTAAATATTCCTGAGGTGAGTAAATATTGTAATTACATTTTGTAACGTAACCCCTGTATGCAATATGTGCCCAGTCAGAGAAATGCACAAAAATAATGAGAGGGGTCGAATAACTCTTGATTACATAATTCAGTTTGCATTGCCCGAGAATAGGCTTGAAATTCAAAACTCATGTTTTGTTGATAATTTAGCAACAATAAGTGAAATAATAGGATATAAATGGGAAAGCTATTATAATGTGCGCTTGCATCATACCTCTGTGCCTTAGAGTAGGGGATTACAATGCCTGCGAATGAAGTAAGAAGTTCAAAGTTCGATTTAAGTGCTGCCCCTCCCTCACTTTTACGCGCCACAAAAGGTTTAATTAAAGAAAATCTTTTAGCATGCCTAATTTGCCCCAAGAACACACCCGGAAAATGCCCAGGAGGGTATTCAAGTTTTCGGCTCAGTCCAAATTAGCATTCAATTTCCATGGTTTTCCAAGCTTTTCCATGCTTTTCCCACCCATTGTTAGTTGCCTGGGTTGGGTTGGCTTGGGTTCCCTTCGCTCACGTTGTTGTAATTTAGTTTCATTTGTGCACGAAAATGAATTTGTATTATTGTTTGCATTAATTTGCCTTATTAATTACGTTTATGCTTCTGACTATTATGTTTTTTCCGTTGCTCCTCCCTCCCGCCGGATTTTCCCACCGCCCCCGGTTTTTCCCAGGGGGTAATTCGAGCGTTGCCTGTGCGGGCAATCAAATAAATAATGAGACGGCGACTGTGGCTGAGCTCTCAGTTCGCAGTTCTCCGCTCGCAGTTCGCAATTCGCCATTCTCCGGCCGGAGTGGGGATTGCGGAGTCCGGAGTCCGGAGTCCGGAGTCCGGAGCCCGGAGTTCTCGGTTTGCTGGCCACTGCCGGCGTCGCTGTCGTCAACTTTGTTTAATATGCGCAAAACGTCGCAGAACTTTTGCAGCTACTTGTCGTCAACATCGTACGGTGCCTCCCAGCATCCCAGCCTCCAATCTTGCCAGCTTCCCAGTTTTCCCCCGTGGTTGTTGTGATTGTCTATGGCAACTTGCTTTTATTATTTGTTGCCGCTCGTCTGTATTTCTATAATTGCCTTTTTGCCTTTGTCTAGCCCAACGTCAAGTGTCTGTGTGGCTGTGTGTCCGTGCTATTTGTGTGTATCAGCGTATCGGAGTGCCAGAGTATCTCAACATTTTCATTGTCCTGTTTATGAAATTCGCAACTTCGGCCGCCTGCGCTTGTCGAGCGGCGAATCAGGCTCACTGACAGCTTTCAATTTGCTTGGGGCGTTGGGACGGAGGGGCAATGCAATTCGCAATTTTCAATTTTCCTTCTGCAACTGCCCGCTGCCACGTGCACTGCAATTTGGCCCCTCCCCGAGCTTAATTCAATTGATTGGCGATAGTTGTGGCTTTCAGCATTGCTCATACGAAATGGAAAATTCGCAGAACTTTGCTGACTTTTGAACTTTGCACACACACGCTGTTACAGGCGCACACTTGAATGACAGGAAAGAAAGAACTCAAATGTCAACCCGATGAAGCCGAGCCACTCCGCCATAAAACTCGCATTTCACGGCACAAAAGCAGCAACCTCAAGCAGCGCACTAGGCCACGCTGATTTGTACACAGGCGGGCACAAAAAAAGCACCAGGACAACAAACGGGCAGCACAACAGCAGGGAAACTTGGAAAAACACAAAGACAGGAGTGGCAAACAACAAGGAATCTGCTTCCGTGTTGATTGTTTTTGCCCGGCTTTTCTTGAGCCAAGAAAACTGCAAAGGACGGCAGGACGACGCCCATAAAAAGCGACCATGTCTGCGGGAATCGCTTTAAGAACAAGTGAAAGGTGCACTGCTGGGAAAACCTGTCCATCAGCAGAACTATTGCAACAATAAGCAAGAGCAATTTGACAATTGAAGTGCTTCTTCACGAGAGCAGCCCCCAAAAGAAAGGAGACCAAAGTAGCCTCATTGCTTGCCAGGGAGCACTTGAGCACAGTTTCCGGTCATTTACACGTACACACAGCCACACACACACACATCTGTGTGGGTGTGTGACACAGTATCCTACATTTTTATTGGCATCCTTCAGCCAAAGTGCGCCTGTGTGCGAGTGAGAGTTTATCAAAGTCCTTGCATTACCAGTTAGTAATTGGCGAGGCATCGGCATCGGCATCCCAAATGAATTTTTAGCAATCCGGAGCAAGGTCAGCCTGGCAGGGAAATTGAATTTTCCGCAGCTCTGCTTACACATTGTGCCAATTTAAAGCAATTACTTGAGCTGCTCTTCGTTTTCCCGCGGGCCAAAAGTAACGTGGCCCAGAAAAGCGGGCTATGAAAAATCACCGAAGACAATTGCAACCAACTTTCATAACTTTGTGTGTATGTTTTTTCCCACTACTCTTACAGCGTGTGCGTTTGCTGGAAAAGGGGGGAAAAGGTCCTGTTTGGCTAGATGGATGGATGGATGGCAATTTCTGTGCACAGACTCCACGTGAAAAGCATCGCTAATCTGGCTCTCTCTCTCTCTCTCGCTCTCTCGCCGCCCTCTCTGTCTGCACAGCCATCTCTCTTTGGGAAAATCTCTGCGCAGATGCTGCTGCTGCAGGATCAGGGTGTGGTGAGTTATGCTGCTGTGCTGCTGGCTGCTGTTCTGCCGCTGTGTGGAAAAAAAACGGAAATTTTCCTGGCCCTACCTTCTGCTGGCGTCGCTGCTGCTGCGCTGCTCCCGCGGTGCCTCTGCTCTGCCGACTTGGTTTACAAATTTTCCGACTTGGCTGCGCGCTTTTCCACTGCTGCCGCCGCTGCTGCTGCTGCTGCTGCTGCTGCTGCTGCTGGTTTTTCTTCTGCTGATATGTGACACGCACTCACACTGGCACATGTACAAAGCACTCACACACACACGCGCGCGCGCTCGCTCTCTCTCACACACACACACACGGGGACACGGACACACAGGCGCTTGTTGTTGCTGCTGCTGCTGCTGCTGTTTGTCTTGCTCTATTTGCTATTTGCCAGTAGTTGTCGCATTTACTTTACACATTTTATTTATCATTTATCCAGTTGCTGCTGACATCGCTGTTGTGTCCATCAACAGGGCTATCTCGACTCTCGACTGGCTATCTTCGCACTCGCTCGCCCGCTGCTTGCTGTCCTGCTCGCTCGAGCGCTCTGTGTGTGTCAGTGGTTTTTTATATTTGGCTAAATAAACTAGTGCACATTTCCGCCTCTGTCAACCGAACACGTCAACTGTCTGCACCTGACTGACGGACCTCGCAGTTCCCAAGTTGCGAGTTCTCTGCTCGCTGCTCTCGATTCTCCGTTCTCGATTTCTCAATTCTCAAAGGCGTCGCTGCGCGAGAGCAGCGGAGCAGTGGCGCTCCAAATCCGAGAATCCCATGTGGATGCTGTTCGGGCCAGACCATCTCTTCTGCTCTTACATCTCCAACGGCCTTTGTTTTGATTTATTTTTGTGGTAGGTTCTCGCCGAGATTCCGGAAGAGCGGAACGCTAAGAGCGGGCACAGCCTCAGTCGCGGGCAGCCGACTAAAAAATAATACTTGTAGCTTAACCTTTTGCAACCCAGGCACCAGAGCCCTGCCCCTCAAGCCCCCCAAGCCCCAAAACCCCGCAAACCCCGCGCCAATCAGCATTCAAAATCCAACTCGAAGCATTCGAAGCGCAAAATTTTGCGCTGCCGGGGCAAACAAAATACCAGCCCCAAAAATAAATATCATAAAATATGAAAAATAAATAAATGAGCTGCCTTGTGGGTGGGGCGGTCGGGGGGGCTCGGAATAAATATAAATATTTGGCGAGCTACAGTTACGCCCCGGCTTAACAAAAGGGCTGCTGCCCAATCGGGTTTATACAGATGGCGGGCCACGGGCTCCATTGTTGATTTTTTTAAGCGGCCTCTGCTGCTCTTTATGCAAACTGTCGCCGCTCCGCTTTCACCTTCTCGACCCCGCCCACCGCCCACCGCCCGCTCCTTCCGCTCGTCCTTGCGTTGTTGCTGCTGTTTGCGGGTCGGGCGTCTCATGAATATGTAAATTGTTATTATTGCATATTGTTAGGCGCCAGCAGCAGCAGCAGCAGCAGCAGCGGCAGCCGCGAAACAGGATAACAGCTCCGGCAAGGACTCTTTGCTAAGCGCTGCTCAGGTAAGAAAGTGGAGAGAGCGGCGCACTTCCGCCGGAAATAGTAATTCCCATAGATTTGACAAATGTCGCTCAGCGAATTAAATAATGAATACCAAATGTGCTGCTTCTGTTCCAGAATTTGAATTACTAAAAGTACATTTTGCTAATATTTTAAAATGAAAGGAACCATTTGTGAGTTGATAACAATGCCGAAGTTGTAAGACTTTCTTACTTTTAATTTAACTAAGTTATAATTAAGACCAAATTTTAACTATTGTTCATGTAATAACCTCAAGGCAAAATATAAATATAGCATACTTTGAGTAAGTGCGGGCATTTATATAAAAATATTACGACGGTCTATTTCAGAATTAAGAACAATTCTAATTATATAGAGTGGGCGGGCTCCTGGGAATCTGCGCGAAGCGAATTAAATTCCAGCCGGATCGGGCGCCTTTAAGCCAAAGCAAATCATTGTCATTGGCGACGGCAACACCTAGGCAACAAAGTAATGGCTGTCAAACGAAGACACTCGTAGTGAAAGGACACCGACACACACGCATATACTTGAGGAGCCTTGACAACCTGAACAAGCCAAAGAACAAGACATTTGCCGCGGCGACTTTGATTGGCAGCCTTCTTGGTAAAAGTGGGGGGGCGAAATCGTCCTCACCGAGGCTGCCTCTGTGTGTGTGTGAGTGTGTGTGAGACGCGCGCTGTCGTCACCGCCATCATCATCGTCATCCTCATCGCCATCGTCATCTATAATAACATCAAACGGCGCGCTGTGCGGACACCAGAGGCCCACCGGATTCCAGCTTGCCAGCTCTCAAATCTCGCAGTTCTGCGTACCGCTCCGTACTCACCACCCGCACCACCCGCGCCACCCACCTGCCACGCCCCACGTCCTTCGGCACCTTAGGACAATTCCGGCCACCAGCCTCCCCGCTTGTTATCACGCGCAATAAAAAGCTTGCCAGCATTTCGCCCCCGCCGCCTTCAATACCCTGCGAAAGGGTATGCCGCGTTGGTCGAGACTCTCCAGGGAAACATGGACTTGCAGATTCCCGCCATGCGATTGCTCTGGGAACTTCTTTGGGGCCACAATCGGAGCACACTACTCGGATTTAAAGTGGTGCGGAGTGCGTTCCAAGTAGCAGCTTTCCTTGGGGAAAGTACTAGTTCTATGCCAGGCATCAACAGTAGCCGTTGGTGACCTGATGATTTGCATCTCAGATTAAATAAATTTAATGCACTCGGGTACTTTTGCGCTACAAAGGATTTTTAGCCAGATTTTTTGGCGCGGAATCGGCTATCATTCTTTTTAAAATCCCCCAGAGCATCAAAGCTTCGTCATCCCCCATCGATGTTTTGCTTTTCCTACAGATGCTTACTTGATTTTTCCTTCCCTGCGATTTTCAAACATTTACTTTCGCTTTTTGCAAACGAAAACATAGACAAACACACACGAAAGGAGGGAAAGGCACGTATTCAAATTGTGGGTGGCAATTGGAGCTGCCCCAAGCCACTCCACTCAATCGCGTTTTCCCCCCGCTGGTCAGGGGGAGCAGGAAGAGCGTGGAAAATACGCCCCGTGTTCGCAGGCGAAAATTGTTGTTAGTGGGCGTGGCAGCTGCGACGCCGACTGCGGCAGCGGCAGCGCGGTGGCAGCGGCGTTGCCTGAATGCGCGTTTAGTTTCAAGTGTTATTTTTGTACTAGAAGCAGCGGCAGCAGCAGCCGAAGAGATTGAGGTGGCTGTAAGGATGGTGGTTGGTGGGCGGTGGGTGGTGTTGGTTGGGCAGGTCGAAGGACTCGTTCTGCGTCTTCGCCGTTGCCGGGCTGCCTTCTGCTTCTTCCTTTTCCTCTTCCTCTTCGTCCTCGTCGCCTATTTCGGCTGAAGTGCGTAATTGATGTGAAAAGTGGCAACAAACTGTTTTTTATTTGCGCTTGCTTTCAATTTGTTTAAATTGCTGGGCGCTGTCTTTCCACTTGCCACACTCGCACACAGGCCCACGCACACACACACACACACACACACCCACTCATTGACACACCCACACACACATTTTTAAACGCTGATTGAAGTTTTATTGAATTTTAAATTGCACTGGCCCCGGTTTGAGTTCGCTTTCCCCAGCTGCTTATTTTCACTTTTCACTTTGTACTTGTGCTTATTTGCAGCCAACTCCCGATATACACGTCGCGAAAATCTGGAGTTTCGTCTAAGAAATCGATGTGGCTATAAATATACCCCTTATACAGCTATTGATTATTCGGTTATTCATGTGACTTTCTTTGATTTCCAAACTACAAAGGTTCGCATATAGAAATCTTGTAAGGATCCCACAATGACGTGTTTTCCAGAAATGGATGATGCAAATTCATTTTATGATGTACGAGTAGAAGATATTATACAACGATTAGAAGATATTATATAACGAGTATTATATAACGAGTATAAGATATTACATAACGAGTATTATATAACGAGTAGAAGATATTATATAACGAGTATTATATAACGAATATTATATAACGAATAGAAGATATTATATAACGAGTAGAAGATTATAATATAACGAGTATATATATAACGAGTAGATAATATAATATAATATAATATAGTTATATAATAACGAAGGGTATATATTTAGCTTCTTGGTGTCGGCCAAAAGTTAATAATGTGATTGTTGGACTTTATCTATAATACCTTTTCTCACACATCATTTCATTTGCACTAAGTTAGAGGCCCACTTTTCCCGCAGTGCACTTTCACTTTTTCCTCTCGCTTACCGTCTTCATCTGGTTCTTGCGCTTGAGTGTTTTATTGTTGACACAAATAATGTCACTCAAAATGTCAAAAAGAGGCCGCTGGAATTTCGTACCATTCTATTTGTGTTTTTGTTATTTTTTCCCAGCCGGCTGCCGGTCCCGAAGTGCTGAGGTTTGACATACATTAAAGTGAGTTGTCAGGTGCGTGTTTTTATAGGTAACAGGAATACAAATGGCGAGTAAGCGCCAACTCCCCTTTGGCGCCAGTCCTGCGCCATTTGCCCACTCACTCATTTTCCGCCAATTTTCCCGGCTGGCTACAATTTAGCGGAACTCCCCCCACTAATTGTAGTCAGCTGCCTCTGCGGCACGCCCCCCGCCTTTGCCGCCGCTGAGAGTTCGGAGCGTCAATTACTTAGCCTTCATTGAGAGGAGCAGCTGCCGCAAGTCAAATAAAACATATTACAAATGACTCCGACACCCCCGGCTGCCCGAGTTTCCCAGAGCATCCCCGATTTCCCCGATTTCCCCGATTTTCCCAACTGCCCCCGACTTCCACGATTCCAGGCATTACTCAGCCTTAAGAGCTCGTCCGACGCGGTGGCAGCAATCTGACAAATTTCGCACAAATTATGCGCCGGCCACAAAAATGATGACGACAACGATGGCACGAATGGGCAATGGATGGGATGGGCTGGCCGGCGCAGGGATTCCGATTCGGATTCGGATTCGGATACGGATTCTGATCCTGGGGGGCCGGCTGCCAACAAAAGGCGACGAAATTATTATTGCATTAAGTGGAATTATTAAATTTCATCGACGACGCCGACGACGACGGCTCAGCGAAAATAAAAATAAATAAATCTAATCAAAAATAAGCACACAAATAAAATGGCAAATGATAAAAAAGGAAGGCGGCAGGAGCAGGACGCAAGCCAAATAAATCAATAAAATGTGACAATAACACGAAATTCGGTTGCTCTGGGCGCAGTGAGAAAAATATGTGGCCAAATGATAATTATTATTAATTATTATTTTATCTATTACCCTTTTATATGTACAAAATCAAGTGTATGCCTCATAATTTCCTATTAACTAAAGCAACCCTAAAGTAACACTAATGCTACTATTTTGATGTGCTTTGTTAAGTAAATAATATTGAAATATAATAAGGAGCAACATTTTACGCTGAGTGGCCTGTTTTCGGGCAAAATGTTTGCTGCGCCACTCAAATCAACATAAACTTTGATATATTGTGTGCGGCAATAGGCGCAGTGTCCTGCCAGGCATGTCCTGCGTTGATTTAATGGCCGCCACCCCTGAGGGTCAGGGGCGGAAGGGGGGGCGGAAGGGGGCGGGGCGCGGCCAGGGGAGCCGCAGCAG